GCCATTGATGTACAGTTAACAATTTTTCGTTTACCCGTTTCGAGTTGTATACCTATTATGTATGTATATATTATTATACACACACACATACACACACACACATGATACACAAGCGAATATTCTATATAAGCACATAATATGAGGGAGGGATAAAAAAAAAGACTCAAATCGAGTATATGAAAAATGTGACGGGTGTCCGTTGTAATGGAGTATTATATACGGATGGCGTCTGTATCCTCGAATCAATCATTTTTTTCCCCTTTCGCCCGCACAAGCCGGGATATCCGCCGGTATATTATTATTATTATTATTATACAGTGCTATTTTTATTATAACGTCACGTCGAATGTGTATAGTATACGGTTTGTGATATATTGTCACGTCGATCCATTATAACGTAAACGCGAGCCCGCATTATCCGCATTAAATTTGCCACGAGCCTTTTAAACGGTCTCTCTTTTTCCTGGTTCGTTTAACCGAAGCCCCGGCAAAGGCGACGGTGACTGATGTCAATGGCCAAAATATACACTCAATTATTGTCAGCTGTAGTCGGCTGTCCCACGAGAGAACGGACCTGCGCAGAAATCGAAGAGTGTTACATCTGTCACTTTTGTTTGCGCAGGCTGATGCGTTTTGGTTTCTGCGCAGGCCGTTCTCTCGTCGCATGGAGTATGATAATTTGTGTATAATACTTATGTCGGTCAGTGTCGCATATATTGTATAACATGTACAAGTGAACGCGATGTACATTAAATAGATCATCAATGAACAATAATTAATGTGATACATTTATTATTATTATGACAAAAAATTTTATTGACAACTTATCCGTCATGTCGAAAACGATGTTTTGCGAATCTCTCATATTATAAACTTGCCGGTAAATTTAAAACAATAATAAGATGATAAGAGTTTTTTAAATTGAAAAAGTCTTCGAGAATTTCATTGAATTTGTTTTTTAAATCGCCCTCAAAGCCGTCCCGGATACCAATTTTTTTGGCTTATGTTAAGATGGCAGACATCCGTACTATCGACCAATATAACACCCTCGTTTGAAACTCTAAGTACCAACTAGTAGCTGTAACATATTCTCCGTTTGGAAGTCTAAGAGAAACCAAGTTCAACGTCTTATCCACTGCGTTGCATTCAATTATTCTTCATAATGAATTGTATTTTACATCGGAATCGAAAATTGAGAGTAACCTAACTGCGCCTTAAATTAAATTGCATTAAGCTAATGTGAATCTTAACGACTGCAGAGGAACGCGGTGTATGTTAGTATATATTTAACCACTTAAATAGTTATAATTGAGCGTATTAAATATCATTTGTTTATCATGTATATAGTTGAATAGACTCAAAAAAGGAGTATCAAACATTTTGTTGAACTCACTCTGGATTAAATTACATTGAAATTATAATTCATAGACTAATTATATTTTGGTATTGGTTACAATATATTAACACATAACTATAAAACGGAAATTGTCTTAGCTTTTTATAACTAAAAAAATGTATATACTGTATATTAAGGATAAGACAATTATTTATTTCTTCTCTAAAACTACAAAATTACAATTATTTAAAGAGAAAATAAGTGTGTTATCTTTAATGAATCACCCTGTACGTAAACTGCTTAATATATTTTATGTGATGTTTAAAAAAGGTATATAAATTTATGGTATGTTTGTTTCAACCAGCTCTAATATAACTTTGCCGACTTAAATATTTTATAGTATTTAAATAAATTGTCTAACCAAGTTATTAAATTTTTTCGTATTAGTGTAATATTAATCTTGTTTGAAAACTGTTAATTTTTACTCTATTTTTTATTACTATAGTTAATTATGGCTACAAAATTTAATAGTTCATTTATGAATGTTTAATTAAAATTGTATGAAATATCCGAGTATAGAAATTTTATACTTTCTATAGAATAGTAGGTGTACGTTTATAAATTTAATTAAATTCCTAAATGAATACCATAACGGCATGAACCACATTCACTAACTTTTAATGAAGTATAAATATAGTAATATATATAGTATATATATTATAGCATATATATATATATATATATATATATATATATATAGTATATATATATGAAGTCCGTTATCTCGTCAATTCAACTCGTTCCAATTTAAAAACACATTAAATGCGTCAGAATATGATATAAATATTCAAAGCAGAAAACAATTATTGTTTTGAACAGTTCATATAAAATTATTAGTATCTTATAAAAATTAGTAGTAAAAAAAAATAAAACACATTACTTTACATCACTGAAGCAGATATAAATAAAAAATGCACACTCTATACTAAAGCATAATTATTATAACTGTATAATTTATTTTTTCTTTGACTATTATAAAATATTTAATCAAAATTGTACATCAAGAACATTTTATGCCAAAAGAGAAGGTTAAAGTTTAAATCCATAATGTAATTCTCTGTGGTATAAAAACAAAATGCTCTGGACCACTATTCATAAATCCTCATTCAACCGTAGAAACTAAATATGTGCCCAAGAGATTTAATTATAATTAACCGCATTTAGCTTTTTAACCTCCCTTATTGTCGGTAAGCCGATTTTTAATAAACGAAATTAATGGCTATAATATGTATGGCATTAACGTAGAAGTATCACGAAAGACGTCCTTGGGCTGACCTGGCCACTGGGGAGTTTATGATGAATACAGTTAATTAACTAATTGTGCTTTGTTTTATTAAAAAATATATGTATGAATGTATATATCAGAATATATGTATATATATATATACATGGAATAACCTTTTTGTGGTTAAAATGATTGAAAAAGAATGAGTCATTTATATTCATGAAGTTTACATACACGTAGGAACCTTAGCATTTTATATTTCATGACCTATAAATTTTTAATTTCATAATAATATAGAAAGAAATTATAATTTGATAAGTTCAACTTGTTTTACTAATAAAAAAAACATGTACTGTACTGACTTTAAAATACTTATAAACATACAACAGAAAAAAACTTAAGCAACACTTGTGGTATTTACATGGTGAAAAAAATAAAATAATGACATTTTTAAATAAACCCTTTACCACAAAAACCCGGAACCTTGTGTTTTATGTTTTACAGTTTGACGAGTTATATTTCACAAATACCTATTCATAATCCAAACGAGCGTTCATTTGAATCGTTGTAATGTGGACAAATGACATAATATCAACTTTCATTATATTATTATGTATTATTATTAATGAACGTCAACCGAACGAAAGCCACATAATGCACAACTGTTACACGGATCTTTCTAAAAACAATTTACATTGTGTTGTATACATTGAATGTTTATTCTGGAATAAATACGCCATCCGTTTGTGATTTGGACGTTGTTTACTTTTAAGCGCGTTTGTCTACATAAGCTTTTTTAGCAGTGACCAAAAACTTTATTTTATGCAACGCAGTTTTGACATAAGAGGGCGTTATAATAATATTATGCACACTTCTAAAAAGGCAGTTGGGACGGCAGGAGGGGGTGGGTGTTGTTGTTTGTTTTTGGTTTGGTTGACCATCGGGAGTTTAAATAAACCCTCGGCTGTTGAATAAACTATAGTAAACAAGAAGAAAAAAAATAAAGTCCATGGCAAACCGTATTCACACAAGAATAAATATTTATTAATAGCGGGTAAACTCGATTTCCTTACATTATAATAATAACAACATGTCAATCAGAGTGAGGTTTTCAAATTTTAACCTTCCGCCATTTATCGTATCCAGTGACACGGTAGAGGTGCGGTAAAACAAATATAGTGCTCACAACTGTGTGTACTTTACACTAAGCATAACATTCCCAACATTTTTTTAATTTTACTTTTTTATCGGCCATTGTTTGTGACAGAATTGATTTTATTCATACGGGGCAGGTATCAACTGTACAAAGTTGTGTAGAAAATTTAGATTAGTCGAGTACTTCTTTAGTTACACCCATAAAAATATATGAACAACATTTTTAGAAACCTCTAAATACTTTTTTTTAATTTTCCATATTTTGCACAGTGCTAACAATAAGTGTTTTGGTAGAGATTTTATCAAGCCCGAAGAATTCTTCGAAACCGAATAAAAATAACTCAAAACAAATATTACGTAAAATCAAAAATAATAATAATAATACCGCTGAACAAAAAAGTCCAAACGATCGATACTCAATCAGAAAGACAATTACAAAAATTAACAAAGTGTTGAGTTTATCCCTCTTTTAATCTCGGCTTCGCAGAACTGATCATTTAATTGCTGTAGCTCGAGCTTGAACCCCTTAAGTATCGACATTTTTTTTTTAAATAAAAAAAAGGGTCATCAGTTTTTCTTAAATTGTAAGTGCGTTGTTTGAGCTGTGCTTTTAGGCACAAAGCATATAATTAATTGCGATTCAATTATACGTTAGGTGTTTAATGAACGATTTTATTAAATATATTTTAATGTTTCCGTATCGAAGCTCAACTGTTAGAAAAACTAACATATTGCAATATTGTTTTAAGTAAAAAAATGAGTGTCTTATCCTTAATGAATCACCCTGTGTATTATACATTATTATTATGTTTGAATTAATGAAATGAATTTGTAGTTTTAAAAACGACATTTTAATTATCCTGTTATAAGTAGTGTTTACAACATTGTGAAAATTTGACAATAGTGAGCACCAACCTATTTAACCTATAACCCACTGAGTATACTGTAAAGATTATGCTGAGACCAAGACGTATTTTGGACATATAAAAGTACAAAACAATAACAACGTGCTGGTGGCAGATGTGATGGCTGTGAAAGCACATTGATATTTTCGTTTGTAGATAAATACCAATAATAATAATAATTACTATTGCTGTCGGATGTCGATATTAAAAGGCGGGAAAACGAAGAGGGTACGCATGCGTTTTTCGACCGCTGGGTGGTGGTTCTGCCTTTGGGAACGACCACCGAAATGCGATGCTCAACAGTCACGTTGCCGCCATGGTCTGGAACACCCCTATGTCGGTGAAAAAGCCGAACCCAGTGCGTAATGCAATATAGTTAATAAAAAAAAAGATATAATACACGCCGGGATTTTATTAAATAATTTTTAAAAAATGAGCGTTAAAAAAAAATCCACAGATAGTTGCCTGGTTAAATATTTACAAAATACCACGGTGGACTACCAGTTATTGGTGTGTTGTTCTTTGGCATTTGCCGTGTACGTCAACACGTTAAACGCCGGATTTGTATACGACGACAAGTAAGATTATACGAATTAATTAATTATATAAAAATAATTTATAAAAAAAAAAATAATAATTGTAATAATAATACCGAGTAATAACATTAGCGCAGGTAATTGTTTTACTACTCTGTTTTTTTGTGTATAAAGACAATAGTGGCCATTTTATTATTTGAAACTATTTCTAGTATTTAAAAAAATAACACAAGACTCGATAAAGTTTTGTCATTCGTTTATAAGACCGTTTTCAATACTAAAAAATAATTAAAAGTGTTATCTTTTAAGCCAACTATTTTAACCTAACCTAACCTGATGAATTTATACAAAAAAAAAACGTAATATGTTACACCGAGAAATATATTTTATAATAAAAAAATTAAGTAATTCGAAAAAATGTACCTTTAAATTTGTTGTCAAAAAATATTACTTAAATAGTAGTATTTGCAAATAAATACCAAGTAATTATTTTTTATCAGGTTCAGCCCAATTATCTATGCTTTTAAAAAATTATGCCAATAGATTAAAAATATTTTACAATTATTGATGTGTAATCTAATATCTTTAAAATGGAAATAATACTAGCATAAGGGTATCATTTTTAATTTATCTTTTTTTTGTTTGTATACGGCTCAAATATCAAGACGATTAATATCCATTTTTCTGGTCATTAAAAATGTCTTTACCAGAATAGGAATAGCATTTCGTAGTGTGATCAGATTTTTTTTGACATAAAATGACATTCTAAAGAGCACATTGGTTGTTTTTATATTAAACAACCAAAAATGGTAAAAATCAAGATTGAAAACAAATGTATGAAAAGAAATTTATATTTTATTGATTCGACCCTATTAAAAATAAACAATAAAGCTTAATTTTTAAAACATATTTTCAATCTTCAAAACTTAAGGAAACTATTTACAAAAACACAGTGTTGTTTGGGAAATTCCCAAATAAGTAAAATAGGTAAAATGATTTCACGGGATTAAGTTATATCTAAAACTAAGTTGTTATTTATTGTTTTATGATGATTCTTAACATAACTTTTAATACTAGAACCTTTGTTGTGATTTTTTTGGTTTTATTATGTCTTAACAAGCCCACTAGCTGGAATCGTAAAACTTAGAATGGGGATTTTAAAAATTTAATTACAAATTGTATAAACCATATTTAATTTTACATCTGTGTAGAATATATTTTTCTCTTTCTTTCGCATTTATATTATTACTATAATATGTTAACAATATAAAAACCCAAATTTAAGATTATTTACTAATCACTGTTGTGAAGTGTAAAATATGTTTTTTCCCGTTAAGATTTCAAGTAGAAGGTGAAAAACATAATACATTATTGCCAATTTGTTTTTATTTTTCCAAAATATGCAAACATTGAAGGAACAACAAAATGATATGTTCTTGTTTACATTTGATCTTTGCAAATATTACATTGACAATCGTTACATTATTTATGAAAAAACATAACCATTTACTGTAATAGGATAGAAATTCTTTAATATACGATATTTTAGTCATTACCAGTTTATTTACTTTGGCTCACGTTTTTGAATTACAATATTATGATTATAGACAAACATCTAAGCCATTAAGAAATTGCATTTGTTTTCGTATTGTATACGTATTACCTTATTAAAATAATAAACAGCTACCTTTACTTAAACAGACCCCAGCAAAGAAAAACAAAATATCCATTCATATTTCTTGTCACGTTTATATTCTAAAGGTTGTATAACTATAGCCCTACGTTTTCCCCCAAAATATCATTCCCTTCTTATTGGGCGAAGGACGAAGATATAGTTCAGGAAAATATTCTGATACTACATACCAATGTAACATGAACGATAATTGTGTATAAGTCTTATTTTTATTATTAAGGGGGGGGGGGGTAGGGTATTAAATTTTTTTTTTTATTTTTTTTTTTTTTTGTTAACTGAATGCATATTGTGTCAAAATTTCAAGTCGATCGGAACAAAATTGACGACGTTATGAGTTGTCGGAATTTTATAGCTGCCCGGCCCGAGCGCACTGTCGTTAACTTTAAAGCGTTTTTCCCACAACTCACGTTTTCAAAGTCGGTGACCAGCATAACTTCAAAACTACTACACCGATCCTTTTGAAATGTTGAACACTATTTCAGTACATAACTAACGAATTAACGCTGGAGAGTTTTTTTTCAAATTTGTTAATATTTTTTATTTTACAATAACAAATTAGCCTATTTTTTTCGCAAAAATCGCGTTTTTCCCTTCAAAGTGTTCCCAAAAAGTGAAAAATTGAAATTTCAAAAAACCCTCCCAGCGTTACCTGGGGAAAGCAATTATCTAACGAAAGAACTTGATTTTTTTAACTTCGGATGATCCAGCATTGAGTTATGAGGGGCACCGCAACTCTACTTTTTTCCAAGACGCTTTCGAATAATTGCCGCCATTGCCGTATTTTTTAATATTTCTACATACAAATATTACACAATATTCTTCGAATGTTATACTTTAATGTACCATTAGTTTTAATAAACAGATTTTAACTGTGTCGTCAAAAAAAATTCACAAAAATTTGCCGTTTTTTGCACGAATTAACCATACCCCCCCCCCCCAGACATGTCATAAGACATATTAAGACGTATTGTGGTAAGATGTACAACAATAATTTTCTAACTCAAATCAACTTAAAAATTAAGGTAATTTTAAATAAAACTGTAGAACTATTACTGCACATAGTCATAATTTTCCGTTCCTTTTAAAGTGCCTATTTTAGCCCAATGACTAACAGATTCACTTAGGATGGTACGCTGTGTTAACTTTTTTATTCAATTGTTTACATTTAAAACTGTTGTTTTATGTGAAATTATCGACAAAGATTTTATTCAAAGTAGACTTAATCGTTTTGTTAACTGAAATAATTCAAAACATTTCTAAAATATGATTTAAATGGGTTTCAAGCAAACGAGTTGACAACAAGGCTTGACAGTCGTTTTTGTTTCAATATCAGTAGCGTTTTATAAAAGTATATACTTTTCTTTTTTTCTGTACCCGTCAACGGTGTAAGCGTACATTCAAAATAAATGTCTACAATGGGCAAAAAAAATATGGTAAATCCAATGAAAAACGACATTTTATTTCACAGCTGGGTCTCCGTTATTAAATGTCTGAACGATTTAATGACAAATTAATGTATCCCCTCATCCCCCGCGCCTTATACACGGCTACCCCGTGTGTTTCTTTTCTTATATTTGCCCGTAGTTAATTGTTTTTTTCTCGTTTGTTTAAAACCCTGCAAGGCGTTGAGAATTAATAGTCCATAGGCAGGGACAAAACAATAAGACGACAGTTGGCAGAAAAAACACGAAAGGGCGGTGGTAAAGAGGAAAACCTTCGGTATTAATTTTAATGGCTCCGGGGATTTACTATTAAGCTTAATGAAGAAAACAAGGAAATTGTAAAGGATTATTGAGACTCATTTAAGAGTGTTTTTTTGGAATTTCATTTCCATTATGGAGGGAGGGGAGGGCGTCCGCCAAAGGAAATTTCCTCCAGTCGACAAGATGAATTTGTTGCAGTACAGCCAGCTAGCGAATTGCTGCTTCTGGTAAAACAAAAAAACACTCCAAACGGGAAAACGATCTACGGCTGATGATCATCTGCAAAGGCAAACGGGACGGGAAACTAGGGAAATTAAGTTTTTAATAAATCACATTCTCGGAATATGCATTATTTAATTAAAAATGAAAATGACATTTCTTGTAATCCCGTTCAGTTTTAGTTTACAACTATGTTAAATTATGTTTTACAAGTTTGTTGCATATCTCGAAAGTAGTTTGGTGTTTAAAAGGAAATGTTCGTGTAAAACGCCCCGTCATTATGGATTCGCCGAAAAGTAGTACTAATTGGGTGTACCCGGTATGTGTGAGTGAAAACATTAGTTTAATATAAACTTGTAATTATTAAACTACCTGAGTAGTTAATCATAAGGCATTGAACCCAAGTAAATACCTGAAATGATCTTCAGTCTTGCTAACAACAAAAACTTTTATAAAAGACAACGTTTAAAAGTAAGGCATTTCTTAAATTATTGAGGAAAATTCTAAAATCAACGAAGTAAAATATTTCCAAAATATGATATATTATTGTAATATAGTAAAGGGTTTTTTTTTTGTAAAGAAACGACAATGTAATTTTTAGTAAATAATTATTTTTCCTTGAAAGTTTTGACGTCTAGGTGTCAACCTTCAGTGCTTGAAGATTAGTGTTTTGAAACTTTCTTAGTCTTTCTGCGAAATGACTTCTCACATTATTGTGGTTTTAAAGAACTTTCTAGACACTTTTCTTGCGTACCATAGTATAATGTATATATATTATATATGCATATTTTATTTATGCAATATAGGTAAAAAGGTTTTCTTTCATTAAGGTATTTTTCCTTGAATATTTTGTATTGTATATTAGAACAACTACTTTGGTCGTAGGTTATCGCTCATCTAAACACCTTAACATATTTTTCCTTTGTTTATGGCTACTTCATTTTATATGATAATATTTTGTCATTTAACAAAGCTATAGCCTAAAACTATATAACTTATCAAATAATGTAATGTACCTATTAGTTTATGGCATGATTCCAAATTGAGAAAAAAAAGTGACCATGACAGGTGTACTGGCCATAAATGGGGTCTTCACCCTATGTGTATTAACAAAGAATTATTAGTTAGGTTTCTGTATGTTTTCAAACAAATTCTCATTTATAGGGACAGTTTTATAAATTTATATAGCCATTCTATGCAATTTAAAAACGCGTTTGCATTTTAGATGCTGCATTTGTATTCCCATCATAGGGAGTTTGAAAAATGTATTTTAAGTACGAATCGCGGTAGTGTTGTCACGTAACTATTTAAACTCATTTGGTAAAATATGATTATTGAAAATAATAATGACCCCAAGGGAAAAGGACGTTGTACTAATGACAGAATCCTCTTGGTTACGAGGCCAGAGGAATACAAAGTAAATCGCATTGTATCTCGTTATGAATATCATCATTTCTTTATGGTAATGGTATTCCTGTTTGTTATTCAAGACCAGCGGTTTCCGAACCACGTTATTATTATAAGATTTGTTCGTTGAAGGGCAGAGCATAAAAAATGCGTGGAAAAAAAAAGAATCGTTAACGAAGGGATTATTTTACAGCACCCGACTGGCGGCAATCATTCCCTTTGAAACTTTATTCCGCCTTTGATGTAAAAATAAAAATGTATTTAATAGTCACATACATAACGACATACAAGGTACATAATACCCATGGAATTATATCATCGAATCGGTGGTCTCCATTCGAAATATCATAAAAGCCACTTTTTTTGCTAAAGCTTACTCTCACAAAATCTTTTTCTTGTAATTTATTCGTGTATTCCAATTCACGTCTACAACACGAAGGTATTATCTTTTAATAACGACATCAAGGAAACTAAATACAATTCGTAAGGCGACGTCATACCCAAAATAATAGCACCAAAATAGTACTAATGATAAGAAGTCTACAAATCACGCAGGGATATCAATATTATAAACTATAAGTAATATGAGAACTTTTACTGGAATTCGATTTTAAAAAATACATTTAATTTTAAGCCAAATCATAACTTAAATAAATTGGCATGCTAAACAAATATAAGATACAAATAAACAAATTATATATAATATGTATTTATTTATTTTACACTCATGATATTTTTTTGCTTTCTAAAAAATGATTATTGCTCGTTTTTTCCAGCCGAGCAATAATTGCTAATGAAGATATACGATCATCAACATCCGGTTGGGGTTTGTGGTGGAATGATTTTTGGGGCACGCCGATGGGTACTGGAAATTCACACGGATCATACAGACCAATTACTGTATTAACATACAGACTTAATTACAGGTATGTATCGATAACAACATTTATTATCTGATTATACATATCAGGTTCAAACCATCGGTAACATAAGTAGTTAAACAAACCTGTAACTTTAAAAAAAAAACAATATCCGTGGAATCCATTATACAAATGGATTTATTTTTACAGACTGGACAATATATAAGAAAGGACGTTTAACCGTACGCAGCCCTACTGGCTAAAGAGCTATAGCAGGACTGCATTTTAGACAACTCCTTGAACTACTTGAGTTGTGGTTGCCCTGTCACATCGGTTTCTATAAGCTGAGACCGGATGTCTCCTTCCAATTACTGGAGTTTTATAAAGGGGGTATAAATAGTTAATATGCGTATGTTCCTTATTATGCTACCTCAGTGCATACGATTCATGTTTATGAGGTTTTACAATAATAACACAAATTATATTATAATAGTGCAAACGTATTGTGATGTGCTGTGCTCACATAGAGTACTTATTATGCATATAATTCCAGTTAATATTGTATTACAAGTTTTTATTTGTTCGGTCCAGACTTCACTGTGCTGGTTTCTTTTTATTACTTAACGATTATTATGTATTATAAGGAATAAGTGCCCGTTAATTGTTAATAAATACAAATAACAAATTACTATGAAAGAATCGATTATTTAAAGAAGAGGTTTAGTCAAAAAATTAAAATTTTCTGGAAAATCAAAATAACTTGAAAAAATATATAAAAAATATTCTTAAGTATCGTGCAATATACTTATTTAAATTTGTGAATATGAATTTTTCAAATTTATTTCTTAACCAAACAGTAAGATTTTTAATTGAATGAATTTGACCCTTTTCATAAATAAATGAGTTACCTAACTCTTTTCATAAATAATATTACTAAATCTTAAACGGGATTGTGTGCAACAGAGTGATGTAAACCAAAACTACTTTACCAATTTATTTTATTATGGCTTTTAAGCAAATGTATAAACCATTAATAGAAACTTTTGTTGTAAATGCTTGTTCCATCGCCATAATAAAATGAACGTCTATTGGAACATATATTTGTTAAAAAAAGACATTTTCTACAAAACTGTGACTTATCACATTTCACAAATAAACGATTAAAAAATACAATATTACCGAAAACATGTCTAAACTTTATAATATGTAATTTTATTATTATGATGTATCAAATGAAATATTACAGATTTTTCGGATTGAGACCTATGTCGTATCATGCTACCAACGTGGGTTTGCACAGCTTGGCAACCGGTCTACTTCTGGTCACTGCTCGGATGATCATGTCCAAGCAGTCTGCTGTGCTGTCAACATTGCTGTTCGCTGTGCATCCGGTCCACGCCGATGCCGTGGCCTCAGTGGTCGGTCGTGCAGATGTCTTATCGTGTGTGTTCTTCTTGCTGTCGTTCTTATGCTACAAAGAATATGTACGGACCAGAATCCATAATCGAACCAGTGCGTGTGGCCAAAGAACAACCAGAAAGTTCCTCGTTTTCTGTGTAGTGTTTGCGCTATTGTCCATGCTGGCCAAAGAAAACGGCATATCGGTGATGGCCATTTGTATTGGTTACGAACTCGTGTTGAGACTGAGATCCATCAAGAAAACCAAGGTAAGTGCCCACAAAAGTTTACCAATAAAACCCTAGGGACGGGAGCAAGTCATTTTTTGGCGTGCATAATTGCACATAATGTACCTACTGATCAATGTACAATTTACCTTTATAAATGCACTTACAATGCTCACTAATCGCTAGTTCGGTTGCTAACTTCAATTGTTGTCTAAATCAAATCTCGTCTGAACCCATTTGATTGGAACCATATCGTTGATTATAATAAGTAGAATCATTCCCAATAAGGTTATACTCGTGGAAGGCTTGTAAAAATAGAAAATGAAAGTTGACATCGAGTAAAAGATGTAAAACAGAAGTCATAATTTCCATAAAATTTAACTACATAGTGCACATATGTCATACAATGTACTTTTTTGAGAAATTGAGTTTAAATACTATTGCAGAAGCAACCTATTTTGTGATTTTTACTTTCTGTTAAAATTATCACAGCAATTTAAATTCTTACTATAAACCAAAATATACGTTAACCCACGCAAAGTTACATTTTAGGACAATATAATATTTAAAAATCAAATTGACTCAACCCTAAAAGAAATTTTATCCTCCAGATGATAGAACTTAATTTTTTTGGCGCAGTCATTTAAATAATGACATTAAAAATATATACTTGGTTTTTTCTTGAAGTAATGGATTTTTTAGTTAAACTGTTCGGGCGCTGCGCACCTCATTTATAAATCATAGTTGGTTTATTGTCTTTATAAGCTGCTGAAAAATTGAAAGAAGTATTTTTTTTTCCTTTTTTAAAATGAAACTGCTGAATTAATTCTGATAAAAAAAATGTACGTAAAAGTATTAATATTTCGGTAAACTATTACTTAGATTTTTTTTATAATAAACATGATAACTCGCAATATATTATTGTTGTAATCTTGAAATATTATGTAAAATACATGTTTGATTATTTACCTGTGCAATGATTGCATAAGGATTTCACATAGTAATACGAGTTAACAGTATATTATTTACGCGGGGTACATTGTTTGCTCTTAACCAGATATTAATAATATCCTAGAATGTATTTAAATGGTATGTGTATAGTCTCGGCAAAACGATGGCTAACCGAGAGGCAGATGCCAAAATAATATGCTGTGTATATCAGACAATGGTTTTTTAACCGCCCTATAAATGGAAAATGTTGAATGCCTACACAAAGTGATGCGATGCTGTCCAGTTAGCTGAGACTACGTGCAAATGTACTTGCATTTAGCAAAATAACACAAAATGGGAGGTTCGATAAAATTAATAGCATTAAAAAAAAACAAATATTTTTGTCTAAACCCCATCAATGTATAATTGTGCCCAGGGATACGTAATATGATCACATAAATTCAAATCAAAGGTCATGCTGCATAAAGTCCAATAATATGGTAAATTTATGGATAGCGAATATCAAATTCACTTCAAATCATACACGTGCACCCATTATGGATGTTCTTTGAAAACAAATGTCTGTTGCATATTATAAACACCCAAAGCACTATTGTTCCTAAACGAAAACACAAATTAACATATTATTCATAAGTACGTGGTAAGCATCACAACACATAATATGTGATTACCAGACCTTGCACAGCAAACTTAGTTCTCTACCTGGTACCTATTAAATTATAACATGGTGATGACAAAATAAAAAATTACATTATGGTAAATTTTTCATTTGTTTGAGTTGCAAAAATTAGATTAAACACATGTTTTTTTTTGTTAACCCTTATACCATTTTCCATATAGACTATTCATACTTTTAATAACCCATACCAAACAGGCAGTTGTAAAATTGTTTGCTTTTCAAACCAAAAACTAAATTAATCGTTAATGAAATTATTTATTTTTGTTTAGCCATAACCGTTTTATGGGCCGTTTATTGCAAAACTGCAAATTTATCAAACATACATATGTTTGCTTAATAGAGTCACATTTAGTGATGTCATTCATTATAAAAAAGAAGCAACTCCAGTAAATGCAAAAAATGTTTTTTTTAAATCAAATTGAACCCAATTGTAGTTTTCGTTTAAACGTCAATTGTATTTATTTCAAAATTCATTAAAAAAATATTTCAAATAAACGTTCAAACTTGGATACAAGTAAGATATAACAACCGTTTTATACTTTTGTCTGTACTCTCCTATTCTGTCAAACGGTCGGACGGTATGTTCTGGATTCGATTAGGAACGTTGCCAACGCATATTAAACGAATCTTGTTTTTGTCTCCGTAAAGACCTGTCACTGAAAACAGAAAAAAAAATAATAGTCATCGTGCGTCCCCCATGGGATGCGTGTACTAGCAATACCATAGTGTTTTTAATACTAAAGGTTTTTAAAGAGTTTTTATTGATTCAAAATAAAATCGGTTTTCAAACACAATACATACGGATAGGTACAGCTGTGTTAGCTTGCAAACGACGGCATCATAAAACCAAACGGGACGAATGAAGTCATTGTTTTCTTCCAAGATTTGATGGTCCATCAGACCGATTGATATTTATTATTTGATCAGAACAGGACCAAACAGGACTCTTCTAGGCAAACATTTTTTGTACAGGAACGTCTCTAAATTGGTTAAATATTTAAATTATTCGCAATAAAAACGGTCCGATTTATGCGACAAACTTTTTTCTACATTTTTAACACCTCAATATGATAGATATTCGAAATGGAGAGAATTGAATAGTTAAGGCAACTCCTCTTTGTCTTTCTATAATTTTACTTTTGTTGTTTTTTCAAAAAAGCTACTCAAAATGAATAAAAAATTGACCCTCCAGTTGACAATTATTTCAAACGGTAATTAGCTCTTCTATAATACCGTAACTGTTTTACTTGGTATAAAAAAATATATTAATTTTTCTAAATATATGAAAAATAGCTTTACTATATACAATTAAAGTTGTCCTTTTTAATCAAAAACAAAGATCAAAACGCCGGGAATTTAAAAAAAAAAAAAATTTAATCTAAAAACATTTAATTCTTTAGTAAAATTTAAATAAATTGTCTTTTCGGGTAAAACAAAAAAAAACTGAGACACATTATTATGTATTTTTGCGATCTGGCGTGTTATAGCATTTTTCTGGTTTAGAGGGAACAAAATAATATACTTGTTTACACTACAAACATACATTTTTTTATTTACGTCAAAAAAATATATAAGTATTTTTTTCGGAAATTATTTATAACATTATTTTCCTTAAAAATATTGTTTTTTTAGAATTTTCAATATACATTTAATACTTACAATTGGATTGTTGAACAAAATAGGTACACTGAAGTCGAAGAGTTAAACCATAAAATCATTTAGTGTTCTGTAGCACATTGTCGAATTTGTTACAACAAGTCAAATATTTATGATAAGTCTTACCGGTTTCTTCATAGTTTTTTTTATATTTTTATCATTGTATGTACAAGAAGATGAGCTAAAAATAATTTAAACATGAGTGCATATTATTCTATACTCTCCTTATTGTATGTACAATGATAAAGATATTTTTAAAAAAACTGTGAAAAAACCGGCAACACTCTTCATGAATATTTTACACGTTGTAACAAATTCGACAATATTGCATAGAACACTAAGTAGATTTTACGGGTTTAACTCTTCGGCTTCAGTACACCTATTTTGTTAATAGTAAACAACCATTTTACCACAGATGTGAACAAACAGTAAAACTTAATAACAGCTAATATATTGAATATATAATACCATATTCAATGTGTTATAAATTACAAAACAGTACAGTCCAAACAAATAGTAGTGGGGACGGAACATAGTGGAGACCGAATGTGTGAAATATAAACAAAAAAAAAACATTATTTTTTCCAAATTACCTTATCGCTCTTAGTTTAGAAGGTCTATACGTTTTAAAGTGAAACATTCAGTTGTTGTTGTTGTTGTTGTGATAGGGCCACACCAGATGTGAATTTGAACGTTTGACATTTTTCCAATCCAATGTCTTCATTTGCGGTTAAGCCGATGGCCAAAACTCGTCTGCTGCGGTATTCTCTTTTAAAAAACGTTGATCGAAAACGATAAAAAACGCTCTGGCAAATCACAGACAGTCCGACGGCGAATGCGGTAATGATATTTGCCGACCGTCTGGGCCGCGTTAATAACAATTATTCCAAATGTACTAAAAAAATATTTACGGTGTGTACCACCACTGTGAATCGGTAAAATTTAACGAACGTCATTTTCTACCGATGGGATAAGGGTGGAGGGGTGGTAAGGCCGTTATGTAAATTTTGGCGCCATAACCGATATCGACGATTTTGTTGTTACTTGAGGGTTTTCGCGTTAGGCTCTTTTATAATTGCCGGTACACGTATTGGTTTATAATAATAATTATGATATTCAATGAATAATTCATATACGTGTACCTACCGCGGTGTCCTTCCAGCTGTATATATTATATTATATACCGTGTATGTATACACGGTTACATGTTGTACCTACCTACGTACACCTTTTTTTTTATTCATCCGGGCACATGCCAATTTCATAATGCCGTGTTCGCGTTTCAAGTTGGAAAAAAAGTTTTGTGCACATCACAAAAACAGCAAACGTCGCGTCTCGCTTCGGCCAATAATAATAGTAATTCGGCGCACGTGTTGTTTGGAAATTGGTCAGACGTGAAAAGTGTTTGTTTTCTTTCTTCTTCCTCTTTTTTTCGTACTATTTGTCTTATGTAGCTGTTTGTTTTTGACCGGATTTGGCCGGATGCAGCACCTACGGTGGGGGGGGGGGGTTTGGAGGGGATGAGGGTGTGTGTGTGTATCCGTAATGGAGTCTGTTATTGACAGATAACTTTCCCGATTGAAAGTTGAGTGTCCCGGACGTTCGTTTTTGTTTTCCAACACGTGTCATTCGCCCTGCGATGAGAATAATAATTCCCCGACAAGTCCCGCAGTCTCTTCCCTTCCCTTCCCCCCCCCCCTTAACATACCTTGGGTTGGCTAACCAGCTGGTGACGTTATTTGGTCGAGGCAAATTTTCGTAGGAATCGCTTGTCTGTGTGTTGAATTTTCGCACGGGTACCACCAACGATCCAAGACGTGTACAACGAAAGAATTAGCTACTATACATAAAGAAGAATGTGTTCAAAGATCTTGATAAAAAATCTTGTTTTGAACAATTTGATTTTTAAATTATCGATAACGAACGCATGTTAAGTGGCTCAAGTTGGTTCCATTGTGATTCGATCCCTGCACTAACATATATTAAGGCGCATTGGTTAGGCAATTTTTTTATTAAAACTTAACATTAAGCTAGTATTTTAAACGTACACATCACCATAGAAAAGAAGGATCTATTTTGATATTTTTTTTTAACTTTTATCATGTTTTTGTTTTGTTTCAATTTTGTTCTCTCTTCGTGGACCCGGTATTGTGTTGTTTTCTTTATACAATTCGTATATCAATTAATTATTTATTATATGATGATTAAGATACATTAAGTATCTTTAATATTTTCTACCGTTAGCCCAATATACTTAAGATCCGCCTCTGTAATTAAAAAATAAAAATTAACGCTTAAACTCTAACCGCAGTCTTTAATGACTGATTTAGAATTAAAAGTTGATAAAAACATTTTTAAAACAAAATAACAACAATAAAAAAAAAAATGAAATTTATTCTAACCAAGTCTAGTGTTATAAATTAGATAAAAGAAATGAAAATTTATGAATTACACTCTAATAAAACACGAAATAATGTGTTTTAACGTATGACCCCGTTAAAGTTTATTCAATAAATTATTAGAATTTCATGTAAATAACCAACGCAACAATATATTATTGTTGTACTGATGGCATTTTCGGTCCGAAGTACCTATTTAACCGCAGTTTTTACGACTTTGTGTGATTCACGTTTATGTGCGACATATGTCTGGGTGATTTAATGTACGCTCATATTTTTTACTTTTCTGAATAGCGCGATTTACCCTCTTTTGAAAAAAAAGAAAAGAAAAATGCGGCACCGTTGAGTTTTTGAATTGGGGGTGTATATAAACTAAATATTATCAAGTGTTTGTGAAACGGCGGAGAATCTCGTTGGACTTGTATTTTTTAATTCACTATATAAATGGTATGCGAATTAATTGCAGCGAATGAACTAAAAAATATAACTTGCAGACTATTAAATTTGTATAGCGACTGTTATGCGCTGCTTAAGTGAGAGAGTCGCGTTTCAAAATATTCTATACTTGAATATTGCGGCGGTACATATTGTTGTGTGTCCGTTGAGCACTTCACCCGACAATAGGGATTTTGTGGAGAAAAAAATTTAAAAATTTCCACCGAGGTCCGTTGAATGGAAACGAAAAGTAATACATATTATTTGCAATGGAATTAGATGATACCAGAGTAGGATTTTGGCACTCGACTGCTGGGAATAAAATCATTTCAAGGGGAGGCCAAAGAAGTAGTATTCAATAGGAGTGTATAATAAACATATAGAGTATAAGCCGATTGTAGTGTGTATATTCCTGCTTTGCATTGTGAGAACGACGGTCCAGAGAGACATATTTCAATATAATAATAATACAACTCCATAATAATATATAATACTGTATTCTGAGCGGGCATACTTATGTGGGCCGTGACGTGAAGGGAAGCCGGCTTAAAGAGCTTACGTCATAATGCAGACCGTACGTATATATGCCTATACTTACATACTTACATACTTAGAATATAGGAAACGAACGAGGTGCACAACTGGGACGTGGAATTATGTACAGGAATGGACATATTTTTATATTGCAATGTACCTACCTATACGCCGGCGGTCTGTAGTTACTTTTTTGTAGTCCGACACAATGTAATTCTTTTTACATGCCAGACCAAATCTTTTTTTTTTTTTTTACTCCAAAGAAAAGCTTTGTGGCTGCTCCGTTGGAAAATGCTTCATAGGGATTTATAAATTGTATCTTGTACGCCGGGGAATCCCATTCGTTTTTTTCGCTACACTGCACTTAACGGTCATACGCGACCCTCTTTATTTTATTTGAAAATGCATACATTCCACATAATATTATGGCCAACAGAAATTACAAGACGTCAAACGTTTTGAAAGTAAATACATTTTTTAAATAGCCCTCGACGATATATCTTCGGGTGTATTTATATGACTGCTATCAGTATTATCATTTAGTATAGATAGTATAACAATAATGGTGTTATTGATAACTCGATTTGCATTTAATATTAAAAAAAGTTTATACCGCGAAGAAAACAAGGTGTGTACTTACAAAATTGGTTCACAAAAGTTTTATTTCAGCTTTTGGTTACATAATTTTTTTATGTTACCATCTAACTAATTTATTTTTTAATAAAAAAAAAAACTTTGTTTTGCGTTGTAAATTGGTCGGAACAGATTTAAGTGACGCAAAATGAATAAATAATAAATATAAATAACAATCACACGTCCAAGTTCTAACTTAGTTTCGCTTATTACATCTGCGGGACTAATTATTTTTCGATTTACAGCTATAAACTTTTTGTTCTTATCGTCCAACCGTCACTAACTATAGTTATGTTATCAAGGAAGGGGATGCTGAGTAAACTATACAGTCCCTTACTCTCCCTCCAAGATGTCGAGAACTTTTACATTTTTAAACGTATTAAATATTTATGTAAAATGTCACATAAAATAAAGACTTCTATTTTTTTTTTTTTTACGTAAACTGTTTGTAGTTTTAAGTTGATTTTTTCGAAATTTTATTATAATACACTTATTGTTATTTAATTTTCATGTTTTATTTTTACAAATATTATTAGGCTTAATATGTAAAAGGAAAAATGTCGATTTTTTCACATATCAGAAAAATAGTAAAAGAAAAACCCTAATTTTTTTTTATTATCGCTCCCTCCCCCTTTTGTTTTTGAGTGTAATCTTGACTGCTTCACTGTCTTAAACGGTTTTACCAATGCGTCAGGCTAAGACAAGAGGCTATTTTCATTTTGTCCCTCCGGGATTTTCCTAGACTAAATGTGACACCCTATATAGTTGCGCGGCCCACATTTCGGGACGGTCTAAACTAGCAAACAGATTACAGGATCACAAGCGATTAACATAATATAAACCGGAATGGTGCAAAATGTATTTTGCACGTTTAACGCAACGTGGCGTAACCAAATAAACGACCAGACGACAGTAGCATTTTGATTAAAACCCGTTAAGGCGTACTATCCGATTAGTTGTTGTAATTACAACCTTTGCCGGCGGTTGATGATAGCTGCACGGATGCAGGATTTACTATATATTGTATAGTTTGACCTCAGAACTCACGACGAAGTGCATCCGGCATATCCTTTGTCATCCGAGTTTAGCCAAAATTCACCAGAGTCAAACAGTTGTTTAAAATAAAAAGGCAACGATGAAGTGATAAAAAAAAGTCCCTGTCTCTTCACTCTGCCAATCCGACCTTTGTAAAAATACTACATCTACAGTTATTATTCTTATTGTTCTGCATTGTAACAGATTGCATATAGACAAAAATGAACTAACCAAAACTATATTATAAATCTCGTTATTTTCTCCGCTCCACGGGAAAACATTTAATCATGGATATGTTATCTCTTAGCACTTATCTCTTATCTCTAACTAAAAGGGACAGTGTAACGCGAAAACGGTGGCATGAAATTTCTTGTATCAAGCCCAATAACATATCCATGTTAAAAAAAAATAGTCCACTATGTAACGAGTATTCTGAAACCACTGTAAATCGCATGTGTTTCCTTTGTGTAGTCAAAACCAATTGAAGAGCTACAAAATATACTAACTAGGTACTACAAATGTCTGGTGCACAAATATGACTTGCTGAGCTTTTAACAATAGTTGTGTGCAGTAAAAAATTATTTTTGAAAAATACACAACAGAAGGTTTTAACGGGCCGGCACTGAATTCAATATAATACTGCGTTTTAAAGACTTCTTTGTCCGTAGCTTGCGCGCTTCCAAGGAAATGCCGTCTTAAATATTCCTAGTCTACGGACATAAGCTCCATTTTATATATAAATATATATTATAATGAAATATTTTAATAAATACGTCCTTGTCATGAATGAACTCGCGATTCTTTTCAACATTTTTGTCCATTGTCAGAGTGACTTTAATTCATTTTCGGTATCGTCTTCTGTAGACCGTGTACGAGATACCACCAGGACGATCAAATTCACAACCTATACAATTCTCTGTTGCAGCTAAATATTTAGAGGAATATTTTTGCCGAACACGTCTTATATTTTAATATCTTCCAATGTATTAAAATGGTAAATTCACAACGCGATTGACTTAAGTTACATAACGTATAGCCAAATAAGTGTTTCAGCGGTAATTCTGATAATAACAACAGTCTGGTGCGTTTGACAGACATGATACAATGTTATAAAAATATAGCTTCGTGTCATAGCTGTTAGCAGAACAATATCGAAAATCCTTCTACACTCATCCTTTATACTTGCAATATTAGTAAACCTACGTGTAGTTCTCGACGAGGATAAGAGCCATATGTCATATAAAGGTTATGACGACGCTTTTAAGATAAATTAAAGTCGTTCTACCGCGGGTACGTGCACTAAAAACGAGTCTAACAGCTGATGTAATAACTGAAAGTGCTCTCAAGACGAGTATTGGTTAGTACACAATATGACTTGAGTGTGAAATTAAACACGTGCCCCGACCAATGCGAACAAAAGTGTTCGGTGACGGGGAAAATCTTTTGAGCGAAAAATGTTTTAGAGAGATGGAAAAAAAAAGAATGAGCAATAGTTTTTATATTTAAACTTACCGTACTTGAGAACGCTTTTGTGTTTTTACTTTTCACACCGTCCGACCCGTGAAATAAATTTTCCCATAAAAATTATCATTGTATATTATGTTGTGTGTGGTTCCTACACTTTTGATTCGACGGTCGACTTTCAACAATGATTTCCTTTAGTTTAGTTACTTTGGTTCGTTTAGCGTCGGTTTTAGTGCACAATAAATTTTTACTACAAATCATTTTAAATATAACGTCTTGTGTGTGGTCAGCAGAAAGTACGTTAGAAGATAAACTTCAAAGATTGAAGAATAGCAATAGGCAATTTGTAGGCTAAAAAAAAGGTATATCGACTTACCAATAAAATATGAATATTTGCATTTCCGAGTCAAATTAAAACGGTTCTATCAGATTACACAGTGTAAAGGGTAGGGAGGGAAAACAGCCGCTTGTGCCTCTTTACCAAAGTTTTTAAATTGATCTATTTGCTCTAATGTAATTTTTTTTATTTACATAAATTTACCTGGTTGTGCTAAAAATAATGTAACGTTCATGCTGAAAACGTTTCAGATATAACAACTAATGTTTTAATTTTAACATGGATATGTTATTAGGCTAGATACCAGAAATTGCATGTCGCCACTTTCACGTGATAAGAGTTAACAGATAAAAGATTATATATAAATGATAAACAATAAAAGATAAATGATAAGAAACCGAAGAATAGAGAGTGATATGAGGATAGCTGGGGTGATTGAACGAAATGTAGAAGATCGAGCTTTATGGATGGTGTTTATGGAGGTCCTTTTTTTTGGAAGATCTTATGTAGTTAGGAGTGTAAGGCGAAGATAAAGAAGAAGATAAATGATAAGAGATAACATATGACTCAATGTTATTCCGTTGAGCGGAGTAAATAACTGGATTCTTTTATTTATTTAGACGGAACAGGATAAGTCGGCGTTAAAAATCTTGGTAACCAGTACCGCAGTGATGGTCGCCGCCAGACTGTGCGTCATGTCCGGAGCCGTGCCGACATTCGCTGCATCCGACAATCCAACGGCCAAACACTCAGATCCGGTGGTCCGGACGCTGACGTTCCTACACCTGCCGCTGGTCAGCGCTCGTCTGCTGGTCTGGCCTCAGGTGCTCAGCTACGACTGGTCGATGGACGCCGTGCCGCGGGTGGAGACCGTCGCGGACCCGCGAAACGCCGCCACTGTGCTGTTCTATCTCACGTTAGTGGCCGTCGGGCTGAAGGCGCTCAAACGGAGGCCCGTGGCCGTGGCCGTGGCCATAGCCGTGGCGTCGTATTTGCCCGTGTCCAACATGTTTTTCTACGTTGGCTTTGTCGTGGCAGAACGAGTGCTGTACATACCCAGCGCCGGATACTGCTTGCTCGTCGGTTACTCGGCGGCCGTTTTAGTGAAAAAAATGAACAGCCATTACGGACGCATCGCACGCAGCGCTGTTTATGTTTTGTACGCCGCAATGATCCTGAGCTTTGCCGTCCGCACGATGCTGAGGAATCGAGATTGGCGCAACGAGGAGGCGCTCTATCGATCGGGAATCCAAGTAAATCCTCCCAAATGTAAGTAAAACCCAACCTATCATCATTACATGTAATGCATCTCTACTGAAGAACAATTTTGAGGCGTCTATCTGATTCAAAACCAGCTAAAAGACATTTTAAAAAAAAGAGGTTTTTTTTTCAAGTGACCACACTGTATTGTAAATACGGTATGGAAAACTATTATTGAATATCAAATAAAGATTATAATCAACTTAAATCGTGTTGGAAAAATATTTGTTGATTATAAAATTGTCCCCCTGAAGAAATTATTTGTTGTTTGTGAACATGTTTATAAATTGCTTTTACCTGGTTTTTGAAATTAGACGCCTCATTTATCAATAAGGCAGACACTTTTAGTGTATTGAACATTATAAGGTGGACTAATTATTGTTAGGGCCTGGAAGTATATGCGTTTGCACTAAATGGTCCAAAAAATTGTTCGATAATCTACAAATTTGTATGAGTCCAAAAGAGATATTTGTTTTCGATATTGTTTTAGTATATTTCGGGGTTTTTCATATTATGCATGTTTTAAAATTTTTTTTAGCTAATAGTACCAATAAATTAATGGCAATACATTTAAAAGAATGGATTAAAAAAAAAACAGAATTATAGATTAACAAAAATTAATATTTTCTGATGGAAATAAAACAAAATTTTACATTTATTTTTTTTACGTATAATTCATTTCGTTTGTGTTTTTTAAAAAATAATTCAACTTATCGTGAACCACTCAATGTTTTTATACAATGTGATCTTAATTTATCAAATTTTTTTTTATTTTCGTTTTACCTCCCTCCCAACTTAGTTTTTTTGATAACTACTTTTGATACTTAAACGGTAACACATTAGGTGGCGCTGTTTTAAGTTTACAAAGACAATTAATAATAAATGTGTATTTTATTAGCTCGAGCACATCGTTTATGCTTAGTTTTATTACTCAGTACACAAATCCCATAATTTAAACCGTTGAACATCACATCTAAGACGGGTTAGGTAATAAAATTAAAGCCAGTGTATTTGTAACATCTTAATAACGCAGTAATGTATTCAAATTACCTAGGTCTTTGTCAAAATCACGTCCCACGTCATTTTCATACGTTGCTCGGTATTTATGTATAAAGGCGTACACAAACATGCAAAATAGAGCTTATCGCTTCAATACACTTAATTTACTAAACCCGAGCGGAATATTTCCCTGAATACCTTATCCGGGAAAATGCAATTATATTTTATTCGAATGTAGTTACCTTTACAAGGTCTGAATTGTATACACAGATTATCCACTAAAATATATTCTCCCAATGCCCTGATAAAAGGCGGCCCTCTTTCAGCAATATTTTACTTTGAGATTTTTGCAAAATATAATTTTGCTTTTAAAATATGTCAACAAGGATAACTGGGATTTATATGTAATCCCAAGTGAGTGAATACAATCTGGAAACACATTAATTTCTACTAAATATTATGCTTTTATCTTATATTTCCAATGGTTAAAGTACAGAGCAGCAGACGATATTGAGATAACTACCGGGCATTTTTTTTTTGTTCGAATTCCCTCTGAAACCTGATGGTCTGTGCACAATATTAGAATTAATGGTAACCCATTTCGATTAGGAGGATCAATACAGAAAAATTTTGTACAGAAATATTTGCAATGCGCGCAGAGCAGCCGCTCGTCTTCATGATTATACTTACTCTAAGTGTCAAGAGAACATAAGGATCGAATATAAGTGTCCTTCATTTCCTAGTAAAGGGGTGAGGTCAGAATTAGTTGATATTCGAAAGCTAAATACGAATGGCGTACGAGCAGGGTAGTTCTGTCTTCTTAGGTTAAGGTTCTTGTTAAGTTTAAATGTGGCACCGGTAAAGATTGGATAAGAAAAGAAGTAGACGAGGTCGGGTACTCCCCAGGATTGACCGCAGGCTCTTAATTTCACATTAAGAGTTTTAAAAACAAGTCTAACCGTATGTAGATTATTTTAATGGCGCCAACTCGCAGCTATAAATAATGCCCTTTCAACGCCACAACTTAAGCTCAAACATAATTAATATTATTAATGTACGGGGCACATAAAAACCAGAATATCCGAGTGACTGAATCTTGAGTATGTGTGCATTTTGTTTAATGGTATTACTGTTGCAGACAATAGAATATAATATAGTATGTGGTGATGTATATTGCGCGTCAGTGAAAGAATTTCTCTACCTCTATAATACATGCCAGGGGAAAAAACAATTTTATACAGTTTATGAACTTGCCAGTGTTTTTAATCTCACATTCCCCAGACCGTTGTCTGTCAATCTCCCCTCGGCGTAATATCATCCGTTTTAATTTAATCAGACCGGATAGATTTGGTCGTTCTTATTTGTTGTTCTTCTCCTTCTAATCCAAAACTCTTGATTAAATTTTAGCCTACGGAAACCTCGGCTCGATACTCAGCTCTCAAGGCAGAACAAACGAAGCAGAAATCGCATATCGATCCGCTCTCAAGTATCGGTCCAACATGGCTGACGTCCATTACAACTTGTGAGTATTCCCAATGCTATTACATATTTTATTAGTTATATCATTGTTACACAGAATATGTTATGCACATAAAACATATTTTGATCCGGTACCAAAAAACTGCTGTGGTCGAGAGCCAAAAGCTAGAAAAATGCAATTTTGAGGTTTTACAAAAAAATTGCAATGTGCAGTTAATGTTGTGTACAGTTTATTGTATCAAAATACATTGTGGTGTCTGTAGCTTTAATACCAAACGAGATATTATTCAAAAATATACATTAAAATTACATGTTTCAAGGAAAAAAAACATATCATTATGTTACTTATCATGTTTGTATTTTCGTTTTTGCACGACTTATGTAGTATGTAAAAGTATAACTTGTAGTACTAAACGGTCATTTAATAAGATACAAATTTTGTATTGTGTAGTTTTGTAAAACATAAAAATTCAATTACTCTGCTGAAAACTGTATACTTTTTGCAAATATCGCTTTTCGGCTCTCGGCCACAGAAATATATCAAATAAATTGTAAAAATCATGCCAAACCGCCACGTTTAAAAAAATCCACAATCTTTATTCCATTGCCACAGTGGTTAGTAAAATATGTCGCGTTGTACTCTATTATGGGGTGAGTTTTTTTGTCAGATTCCCCTCATGACAATCACGGTATTTATTGGAAGCTGTAAAATAAATAAAAAATAAAATAAATATCATTCCTTATTGTTTCTCTTATTTTTTCGTCCACGAAACAGAACAATAAATTGATGTACGCTAGGAAGAACAATTTAACAACACGCCCAAGAAGCTTATGCTGTCCAAAACTTGATAGGTTTTATACGCCTACATTGTAGTGAGCGGGCAATATCGTTCTATAATATATATATATATATATATATATATATATATAGTAGATATTTGCTGTAGTTTTTTTTATCATTGTTTTATTTTGAGAAAATTGAATAATGTAGTATACCTCGCGTAATGAAGCTCTGTTTATATACCATATAATATATAGAACCTCTAAAATAAAATGATAAAACGCTACGACAAAACAACGCCAACATCATCTATAGAAATAAAAAAAAACTATAACGATAGTCCCAAGAACAATTGGAAATCTGTGTCGAAACTCAATCGTCATTGGTAAAATACAATAACCTTTTGGACATTGCCCATAGCATAAAAAAATATTTAAATTTTAGTTTTGGAATTGAAAGAACATAATAACATAATTTTTGTTTTCTAATACTAACACATGTGTTAACTATAATTATTTTGCATAGAATTATAGTACCGTTTAATTTTGATGTATTTTTAGCTTCATTAACAATTAACATAAAACCGCGGTGTATAGTTCAATGGTATTTTACACTGGCAGTGAAATATAAATTATTGGATTACTTCCAAACGGTAGATAATAATTTAATGTGTTTGGCGTATTTAGTCTGTTATCTGCACGCTCCGGACAAAGGAATAGGGCATACGTTTCAAGTGTTAGGTCGTGGCCTATTGTTTGTCAAATACATATACTTGAAACTTGATTTGTGTATCGTGCTCGGAAAACGTTCGATTTTCAACTTAAACTCCCCGTTTGGGAGAGATAATTCTACGTTGTATTGTCATAAACATTAACAGTCTTTTGCGTTGACAATACTCTCTTTCTTAAACTATGGGCGCGAGGCATGGGCTACGACAAAAGGAGATGACAAGAAACTTATAAAATTTGAAAGCAAAAAGGACATACTACAATACTTCTACACGACAATTACAAATGAAATTAGACACAACGAAGACAAACATACGGCTAGATACGGTACGAAAAAGGATTTACAAACCTCAGATGAAACGCCACACAAGTGGAAGACGCCTCAGGAGGAAGCATCCATGGGCCAAGTAATTTGATATAAAGAATAAGTAGAAGAATACTGTCACAATAATATGTTGTGCATGACGAAGCGTTATAAACTCTCATTTCGATAGAGAGCTCTAGTGAGACGCTATCATCCCGTCCGTCTAGATAAGTACCAGAGAGATTCTCCCTTCCCTTCTCTCCCCTATCTCTCTCTCTACCGGTACAAATTGATCATTCCAAGACTGTCGATTCGACGATGACGACGGTTATCAGCAGCTGTAACCGCAAATAAACTCACCGATTCGGAACAAATGCTGCCGAACGTCGTATATGTATTTGTCCCGTGCCGTTGTTTAGTATATATATAGTGATTTAGAAAGCAATATGTGTGCAAAAGGAAAATCGTTTATAGCCCGACAGTTTAGACCGAACCAGATGTCACCAGCCAATAATAATACCCGAAGACACGACGACTGGACGTATATAAAACAAAATACATAAAATTAAAGAACCGACCGCCTAAGTCGAATTCCAATTGCCATAACCTAACCCCACTGACACGAACACACACACACACACACATACTGGTATATGTTTGTACAAAATAGTTATATTGGCGAAAACTTTTTTAATACTTTTCTCCGAGAACAACAAACTTGTAACGTTAATCCGGTAATTGCTTCAATATTCGTTTACGCTGTTTCGGCATATACATTGCTAGTTGAAAATAAAAATAAAAGAAAAAAAATTATTAATCAGTTTCAACAAGGGCGGCTGTAAAGTTTTTGTCAGTGCAATACATTACACCGTGTAAATATTGGATATATTTTCTCGTTGTTGAGAAATATTGACTTAAATATACTTTTCACAAATAACGTTTTAACATGTCAACAATTTCACTCTTTCTGTTATTTTTTTATTTAATATAATTTAACACAATCGATTGTAGCGAATTAGTAGTGCAGTACATACTTTAAAAATCTAATCTCTATTATGTAGTATATTTTTTTAAACAAAATTAATAGGTGTAAGCAAGGTAAAGTAACTATTACTTTCAATATAAAACCAAATAATAAACCTTATTTTATTAATAAATACATACTGGTGGTACATTAACGTTGAAACACTTCTATAAATATAAAAGTCGTGCAAAAAAAAAATAATAAGTACCTATCTTAACTGCATTACGTATTCTTTGCAAAGTCTGAAGCCTAGAGTAATATTAGGTTACCAAATATGTTATTATAATTAAACTATGATTGAATTTATATTTTATTGAGTCAAAGTTTACACTGTTCAGCTACAGCATCAATTGTAAGTATGGTCTAACGATAAAAAAAAAATAATCGGGTGTTAAAACTTAACATAAAATACTAATGTAATCATTTTGTATTTTTAGTATCTAATCCTATATCTATAGGAAAAAAAATTAAGATAAAAAGTAATTTAAATTGACTATATTGATCATAGTTCACTGTAAAAGTTGTAAATATTATATATAACGTGTTTTTATTGAATCGTGAAACTTTTTCGGAATTAAGAAAAACTTTAAGCTAAAAAGTCTATAAGTTTATGTAATTTGTATAGCCGTTAATATATTTTAATAGTATTAAACACCATTATAGTATATTCACTTTACTGAACATTAAAAATTGTTACCCTCATTAATTTCATTACAGTTAAAATAATACCTTATATAGTATAACAAAAGTTTTAAAACATTTTTTTTTTCGTTTAAAGTTAAAGGAAAGTTTCTTTTTGTAAAAATAAAGAACACATTATGTGAAATGAGAAAATTATGCAGGAATTTAAATACATAATAACAATAACAGGTGATCTAAAAATATGTACCTACAGAGTTTTAACAAGTTCGTAAAACAAATTATGAAACTTTTTGGTTTTTGAATAATTTTGTTTTAGACAGTTCAAGTATTTTAAAATTCGATTTCATTAGTATAAGGTATTTCTACAAATATTATGTAGACAAATATTTAAGTTCAAATACTCTCACTTTATCACGGGACTCTCCTGATTTATATGTATTTTTTAACGAATTCTTTTTATAAAAAAAATATATTTCTACTGAAATAGTTTTTATAACAAGTCGTCACTTACTACTACTCCATAGACAATAACCACTTAAAAAAACGGAACAAAATTATTCATTTAAAAAAAATCAGTCCACCTATTTAATCACTAGTAATCTTTTATTGACCAACTATAATTTTTCAAGTCACTTACGTTATGCGTGACTTGTTTAATGAGTAAAAGATGAAATACCTAAATTTTTATTATCCTAAATTACAAATACTTGTACCTATGTGTTATGCACATAAGTGTTTTATTAAAAGTGATTTTGTTTTGTTTTGTTCACAGTTCACACCTCAGTGTCTTAGCTTATCATAAACTGTTATTCGTCGTTGCATTATTCTATAATTTCACTCTTATTTTATTGACTCTTGTTAAGTGTTAATCACAGTGGATATTTTCGAAAATCGTCTAAGTAGAAAAGTTAGTTTAAAAATGACACAGAAAAAACAAGTCTATAGAAAAATAAAATTATTCGTAAAATTTGTTGAACTTGGAAACATATCTACAAGTTGTATAAGATATCGCGATAAGAATAATGAAAAAAACAATGGTTAAAAAATGTTGTGTGTACACTGGAATTTTAAAAAGTGAAGGAAAAGATTAACAGTGTTTGTATATGTATATATACCGTCACAACGGTATAGCTTTTCATAGGGGCCAAAAACTTGCCTACGGAAATTTCCGGTAAAGTGACAATGGTGAGCTCGCCAGCAATGCTCGTTCGTGACGATTAATTAATTCATGTCAAGTTTGCCAAATGAATGCCCGCCAGTGGAATAAACAACAATAAAAATCCATTGTATTAATATTAATATTAATAACGAATACGTTTGTTTTGGCGGGTTCGGCTCAATTGGCATTTTGGCGCGCAACGTTACAACGCGTATGGAACAATAGCGAGCAAAAATATATTCTATTATGTTATTATCATTTTTTTTCGTATCCGTCGTTTAACCGAGAAATGCGTTACGGAAAAACAGCCGTGAAAAATAACGCGGTTTTTCACACCTACACGACGGCCGCAGCCAGCACTTTGCTTCGGGTAGAGAATCAGTAAAAGAAACGGGGACGTTAAAA